ACACAATTAAAATTAATAAATAAATAAATAAACAAAAGACATGCAATAACCCCGACTCCGAGTTTCACGGGCATACCCAGAAGGTATGCCCGATCGTCAGGAGGTTTATTTGAAAAATCTATATATTGTATATGATATACATTAAAAAGAAAATAACAGTGCTACATGTAGAAGCTGATAATTTATATAGACTTGCCCTTCAAGAAATGTTTCTAAAATGTCCATTCAAATTTGAAAATGAGTAATTTTCTATTTCTTGAAGGGCAAGTCTACCATTCATATACATTGTGTACAGTACGTGTACCAGTGAAGATGGGTGTACACAGTGAAGGTTAGAAATGGCAGGGCCTGTCACAGGCTGTCAATGCTACAGGCTACAGTATTACTCACTCCATGTGGCAAAGACAATTGAATGTAATTTGTATAAACATGATTTTTATTTATATATATTTATTCATTATTACTATCATAAATTCACAGAATGATATGACTAAACGTAATTGTACAAAGAAACAAACAGTATTTACTGAAGACTGAAGAGGATGAAGAATTCAACACATGGCACAAATTACATCAGTTATATAATTACAGAAACAAACACTCTTTTAAATTAAATTTAATTGAATTCTGAATCATTCAGCAGGGGATGGATTAATCTAATTTTCTTCTCATTTTCTTCTTTGTTGAAAATTGATAATCATGACCAACTGCTGCCTTAATTAAAAGTTTTTTTTAATTCATTGAATTCTACTTACATTACTTATATGTAGTATCTGTTCACCAGACAATTAAAGTTTGTGTTATTGATGTGCTGATTGCAGAAAAAGATGAAAAAGACCCATTTTAAGCATTATACCCAGCATATTACAGAAGAGTATTATGACAGGTAGGTACAAGCACATCACTTCTTAAAGATCTCGAGCGTTTTTAGTGTGGTTTGCTTCAGAATTGGTGTCAGTTCAAATATGGTAGTTGCCATTGGCGGAACCTTGCTAAAGTGAATTCCCAGTCAACCTGCGAAAATATTAGTTTTGCTTTAAATGCCAGTCGAATCTTTTCACTATCTGCTTTGAGGCTGAAATTTGCATTAACAAATTCGGACAAATGTGCCCTAGCTTCCATCTCAACAGTACCTTCTCCATGGTCATATTTTGCTTGTATTCCTACATTTACTGCAGTGCCTGGGGGTCTAAATTGTACATCAAGTGAAGGTGTATCACTTAGTTGAAGGTGGGCTTCAGTAAAAAGCAATGGTGAAAACTTTATGACAAACTTGCTTGGGAAACCTACATGCCCATTCTCAAACTTGAAGCTAATGGAACCCTGATATTCACACCAGGGGCTTCTGCAAGTGGCTAGTCTGAAGAAGTGGCTGGCTATCAGTGACTTGGGGTACTTAGTGATAAATCTCTGTAAAACTTTAACAAACTTTGGAACAATTTGAAGTTGTTCAATTTTAAGCTTAGCCTCGGTGGACCCAAAAGCCTTTATCCAGTGTTGTAAAGCATCAAGACATTGTGACAGTCCTTCTGTGGTGTCTATGATAGCTTTTAGTTGCTGTTGAAACTCTGTAAGTTGAAATTGTTCCTTGTCTTGAAACTCCACTGCTATATTTAGCCAACTTGAAGAAAGTAGTGGGATACTAAAATTGTAAAGTAAAAAGACGATGTTGAGGCTATTTCATAGTAAATTGATTTTAGTGTAATCATGAAATAATTTGGAAAGTGAAAGTAAACCTTATTGTTACTAATAAGAATGATTTGAAATTACATGCAATTGATATATGTAGGTAAATCTAAGTTTCAAATAGCCTTCATTTTAATATAAAAATTGTTAATAAAAAATACATACCTGTCAGACTGTGTGCATGCCAAAATGGATGCAAGTGCTGTTAACCAAATTACATAATGAAATGAAACTGACATCTCTCTGTCTTTTACAAGTATCACTTCAAAAAATTTAACAGCTTGTTCAATGCAGCTTTATGGACTTCCAAGGTTCTTTTTGAAGTTCTGTAGAAAACTGTACAAGGTATTTGTATGCCTTTGTAAGTTTCTAAGGAGAGTGTTTTGGTGACAGTTTATCCATAGAAACTTCTTTTATATTCCTGTGAAAAGCATGATGCATGTGTCATTTGCTGATTGGAAGAATTGAATATCAGCTTAAACCCTTATTGGTCAAAATGCAGGGAAATCCCCCAAGAAGTTTTTGCTCATCTATTTACAGCCAGATCTCCATAGCACATAATTTTTTTTGTCATGAAATTATTGATTTGCCTACAACAGTCAGTAGTTGTTTCTTTGAACTTAGTATTGGAATTTATTGAGTCCTTGAATATTTGGAACTTACGTAGTGACTACCACCACTATATTACATAAAGAATGCCACACTAAAATATCATATAGATAAGAATAAAAAATCAATCCTTTGGATATCTTTTTCTTTCACTTGGCTTAGGCAGTGGGAACGCCTGTATTATTATTATTTACATTTTGTGCAAAATGAGCAGTGTGGTAGTAATTTTACCACCTAAAATGGCTGCGAAAGATTTGACATGTGTACCATTTAAGTCGTGCTTAATTAATTTAACACAATCACATAGATGTATTTGTTTGGAAGAGTGCAATTTATTACCAGTTAGCATACATGATAGCAAACATCCATCAGACTTGTTTCAGCATGCTCATGCATTTGTGGTAAATCCTGATATAAGTCTTTTTCATATATGATCCTGCTGTGATGCAAACTCTGGCTAAGTACATACATAATACCTGAGAGATTATCTTCTTTTGCTGGGGTAGCACTAAGGCCTCATTCAGAATAGGGGACTAACTAGTCCAAGGGTCAAATATGGCCGACCCACTTGAATACTTCCCCACGGGATATCTATTCAGTGTCTTTTAGCGGATTAGATGGCAAGCTTTGTAGTGGGTTGCCATATTTGACCCTCGGACTAGGTAGTCCACTATTCTGAATGGGACCAAATACTCGCCAAGCCAAATGCTAAAACTGACTTAAATTGGGAAACAAAATGGGCTTGATTTGACTAATTTTAGTCAAATTGAGACCATTTAGATAACAAATTGACAAAAAAGTGGTGATTTGGCTTGTCGAAAAAAAATTGCCAGCGCTACCCCAGTCTTGGTCATATTTTGAGCTCTTATCTTAATTGTCCATTGATAGCACTCTATGTGCTCATTCCCAGTGAAACTATATAGAACAGTCCAACTCTGTGGGGACTCTTGCTGAATGCAATCAGATTAACAGATTGACACACTTCCTCTTGTTTCCAACCTAATCACCAGCTTTTCTGTATTCTACTCAGCGCCAGGAAGATGCTTGTTAATCTGATTGCATTCAGTGAGTCCCTGTTGGGGTTGGTTCGATCTATGCAGACCAGTATTTGCATTGGAAATGAGCCCTATGCATGAAGTTAACAGAATTTAGGGAACACAAAATTAAATGTTCTTTAAAAAATAAGTTCTAGCTTCTGTTATTTAGGTACCAGATAGCCATAGGACAGGGTCAGGAACAAGTGTTAGTGAAAATGTCAGAGGAGGTATTTCATTTTTTAATTGCTTTTGCTGTTCAAAGTAAATATACAGCAATTTTGTAGAGACAGACCAATTTCAGATGCTCTGACATAAAGTCACTCTCAAGACATCTACAGAGTGTGTGCATGTGCACAATTTCCTTTGCTAAATTATTCCAGTAAATAAGTTTCCATAAAATATCTGAAATCTGCTGTTACCTTTGGCTTTGGACAATATTTAGTGCCTGTGCCTGCTTTTGTTGCAATTGTTAAATTCTACTAAATGTAATTTTATTCAATACTCAATGAGACTGTATACATTGTAGATGCTAGCATTTAATATTTGAAGGTTATTTTATAGCATTAAGTGTTTTTGGTGAATTGCATCATCTAAATGTCTTCTCAGGTGTTTATATGGGTCAGTGCATTCATACTGATATGCTTTTTGTCCTCAGCTTCAAAAGTAATTGTAAAATCTATATAAACAACATAGATGTATTATTGGATACCATGCTAGCCAAAAAATTTGACTAAACTTGATTGGTTTCTTGAAAACTTTAGGTGGACCTTTCACCTATTCTTCTGGCTAGAATTGTCCTGGAAAGACATTTAGCTCACACAGTGTATGATGGAGAAAATGGTAAGTAATTAAAAAAAAAAAAGAAGAAAAATAACTCTCAAATAAACTTTTATTGAAAGAAAATGATATTCATGTAAAGATATGTAATTCACTAACTGTAATAAGGAATACTTTTAGTACTGGAAGGAAATGCAAACTTTTTAAGCTATTTGTTTTGTTTCCAGTGCCAAAAAGTGTACTTAGTCAACAGTTGAAAGATCCCAGTTTAATAGAAGATGCCGTGCTGGCCAATGAAGTCAGTCTGGTATGCAAAGTTTATGTATGGTTTTTACAGTGAAATGCTAATGACTGCTCACACCATCAAACATGCAGTTCTGTACATTTGTTAAACATTAGCAATAAATGAAAATTTCCATAAACAAAGTAATTGTTGGCTTGTCACATTCTATTGCACTTGTTGATTTATTTTTATTTTCAGTGTCTTCTCATGGATGATAATTATGGTCATTATGTGGACACTATAAAACAGTATCCTTTTATTGTA